TACCAAAGCAACAGTAAGATTGCATTTTCAACCTATCACGTGAGCAAAGATGGAAAAAAATGAAACCAGTCATGATGGTGCCGATGGGAACACATACACTGTGGGAAAGCAATTTAGTTACATGTAAAAGTCTTGATCTAGCAATTCCTCTTATGGGATTCTACCTAAAGAGCTGGCTCACAGAAATGTTTCACCCAGCATTATTTCAAAGGGCAAGAAATTAAAATGTCCTGCCAAGGAGGAATCGTTCATTCATTGAGTCATTCAAATGTTTATTGAGTGTCTACAATGTGAACATTTCCTGAGATGGTTCAGCAATGGCTCGTTGTTCCAGATTACTCTTCTTTCAAAATGTGGATAGAATCAGTGTACATAAATAGATGTATATGATTAGACATGAGCTTGTATATGCTAATGCCATCACTGGAAAGCTACATGAGTAACTCCTGACACAGATTACTTTGGGGAAAAGAGCTGGGTGAGAGGTAGGAGGGAGAATTACTTTTCACTATACTCTTGTACCATCCTGAGTTATATATTTATTTAATTGTTTATGTTCTTGTTTTTTTTACTTTTTTATACTGAGGCACTTGTAATTAAATGCACATATCATAACATACAGCTCAGTGAATTTTGACATGTGCACACACTTACCTAACCCTCACCCAGACCAAGGTATCAAACATTCTCAGTAATTTTCTGTTCTCCTTCACCGATTTTGCCCATCCCCCACACCCCCTTCCCTCTGAATTTTTAAACATGTACATGGATTTTGTTAACGTTTTGAAAGTGCATGGTATGTAAATAATCTTATTTTTCTTAGAGGTCTTGAGTTGTTTTTAAGTTGTTTCATGGGTATCTCATCTCCCTGGGATGTGGAACTCTCTCCAAAGAAAGGGATGCTTTTATATTTCTTTGTATTCTCCCACAAAGCAAAGCACAATTTTGGCACATCATGGGTGTTCAAAAATACTTGTTGAATAGAAAATAATGTAATTTGGTGCTCAAATACCCTGGGAGCAGAAGTTAAACTCAATTATTCTGGGTATTGCTCTAATGCAGACTGCAGTGTTTTAAAGAAAATCGCTGATCTTGTACATCATAGTCGGCTAATTTGCTAGTGGGGATAAACAAGGGAACTGAGGAAATTCTTTAGTGAAACTGTATAGAGAAATGCAAAATGCCCTTTTAATTCTTATGTATCCACCTGAAATCTTAATCTTCAAGTCAGTTTAAAGATCCCTCAATGTCAAGTAAAGAAGCATACCTAACCTCAAGGTTTAAATTATTATGGAAAGTAAAAATTTTATTATAGGGTCTATTTTGTGCCTTTGTAAGAGATTAGATTTGTTTTAATATACTTTGTGAAGTGTTTGTAATCTACACCAATTCCTTTATGATCGAACATAGTTTTGTTCCCTTTATTCTCCTGTATATGAGAAACAGAGAACAAAGTTGTTATGGTAATAATTGCATTTACCAGTGAATTTATCTTTTCCTACAGTTTCCTGAATGAATGATACTGGTTGCAAATGATGCCTGATTTAGTGTGTTGATTCCCTTCACTGACTCTTCCCCACCCTATCCCCCCCAAACCTATAGTCATTTACTTTCAAATTATCATTGTCTGCTGAAGAAATTTGCTGACAAACTAGCAAAAGGAAATGCATTCACTGAATGAATAAAGTTCCTGAAACGCAGCTTTTTTGTTATTTATTTTGTACTGCCAGCAACTTCAGATTCCAAGTACATTCTCTGCACTAAGCAGCATAGGACAGTTCAGGACTATTTCTGACGGTATAGCCCCTATTTGACACAAAGTACACAGGGGGAAGGAAGGAAGCTTGAGGGAGACGAATGAAGAAAGTTTTGAATAAAGGGTCGGTTTTGGTTTCTGAAATAAAGAAATTAGTTTGGTGCTGAGCGGCATACTAGGCACCAATGGGGAAAAGGCTAACAGAAAAGGCCAGTCTGGTGTGAAAACATAGTCCTAGAGGCAGAGGTGTGAATAAGGCCTATTGATGAGAGAGTGAGAAGGAAGCTCAGTGGAAAACTTGGCGAGCAGCGTTCTCCCCTCTGGCTGAAGAAGCGTGATTCCCTGCACAATTCCGTAATGAGAGGAAAGCCACAGAAGTCTCTGGAATGCAGCTAGGCTGGAAGGTGGGAAATCGGAAAATGCTTCTAAAGTCAAAACTGCAGATTGAAACGCGGGTGCCAGTAACCCATGTATGTAGACCGCAGGGCACCACCTGGCAAATTACCAGTTGCCAACCAGCAGCCTGAGGCCAGGAACCCGGAAAGCTGGTCCAATAAATAATAAAACAAATGCCTGGTCCCTGAGGGGCGTGGACAGCGTCCTGCACTTATTGTGGTCTCAGCAGTGTTTCCTTTGGTAACAGGAAGAAGAAAGGAGAGAAGGAAGGGTGGAGGAGGAGAAGGAGAAAAGAAAAAAGGAGAAAGACAAAAGATGAGGAAATTCTCATTTCACAGAGAATAAGAAAGAATGAGAGAAGGAAAGAGAAAGCAGTTGGCTCTAACATGTCTGGATGTCCTCTCAGGTCCTCTACTCCACAATTCTAATGCGGTATTTCATTCCCATTTCACAGACGACGGAGGCACAAGACCCGCAGCTATGAAGGGATGGAGCTGGACCACATATATCCTGACTACAGTCCTTTCTCTCCTATCCACGCTGCCTGTGAAAATTTTCAACAGTCAGCAAAGAAGACATCTATTAACTGTGGTTTGGTCAGTCGGTGTGAATGTGTAAAGGGGAATCAGCAGGTGGGACATTACTTGCAGAATTGTTCTGTAACATTAAGGTAAATTTCACCTTTGGGAGAGAGGTAATGAAGGGCCTGGAAAAGCTTTCAACTCCTTTACATCAATCTTGAACACAGAGGAATGGAAATGACAACCAGCCATAATGACACTAAAAGACTTGGTCTTTTTTTTTTTTCTTTTTTAAGCTGGATTCGTTTATCCTGGAAATGAAAAACCGAAGAGAGATGTAGTGTTCTGTGGTACAAAAATTAGACTGTAGGGAGTTACTGGTATTTTAAACCATCATCATCACCAAAAAAAGGAACAGTAGCAGAGTATTTACTGAGGTGAATTGTAAATGTGTAACTTGGAGTTTTCTGCTCTCTCTCAAAATATGGCATTGCCTTGGAAATTGAGGAATTGGCTTAATGTGGCCCTGTCTAAAAGCAGAGGTTTATGAGATGAGTTATTCTGTTGATGGCACGTTAGAGCCAGATGGAGCCCCTTGTTTCACAGAGGACAGTACTCTCCCAGGGGTCTATTGTCATGTTCCAAGCCCCCTTCAGTCCTCGGATTCCTCTATTAGACATCATTCACTGAGCCCTCAAAACAACCGCGTTTTGGATGCTGTTGAAATCACCGTAGGACCACAGCTACACCCAAAGGCCCCAACTTCCAGCTTCAAGCCCCACACTTCGTCCTTGTCCTGGCACACCTCCCTCCCAGCTCCCTGGACCTTACTAAAAGTGAGTAATAGAGTGTCCTCTGAGCTGGCTAAGGTAGAAATGAGACAATACCACCATCATAAAACAAACTTATTTTTATCCACTTACTATTTTAAATTGTGGCAAAAATACACATAATAAAATTTACCATCTTAACCCTTTTTAAATGTACATTCATTGCAACTCTGTACCCATTAAACAGTAATTCCCCTTTCCCTCCAGCCCCTGGCAACCACCATCCGACTTTCTGACTATGAATTTGACACCTCTAGGCACCTCATGTAGGTACAGTCATACAATACTTGTCCTTTTGAGACTGGCTTATTTCACTTAGCATAATGTCCTCAAGACTTATCTATGCATGTATCAGAATTTCCTTCCTTTTTAAGGCAGCGTAATATTCTATTGTATGTATAGACCCCATTTTACTTACCCTGTCATTGCTGATGGACACTTGGGTTACTTCCATATTTTAGCTATTTAACTGTTTTTTTTAATCTTTGCATTTATACAGAAATTTTAAGGAAAGTTTCAAAGTACTTTTCCATATATGATCTCACTTTATTCTACTTATCATCATTACACTTAAACATATATTCCTAAGGTTATTATTTTACAAGTTTTGAAACAAAAGTCCATTATGAAAGGTGGAACACAGCACACAAACCATGCCAGTGCAGCCAGTGTGTGGAGACACCTTATTAAAAGGCAAGGAGGTGAGGAGCTTCCCAGCTCTGTCCTCCAGGGCAGCCTGGGTATTGGATTGCCACTGGCCCACTGCACAAGGCCAATGACAGGAGCACACAAGAGAACGAAGGGCTCACCCTAGACCCAGCCATTTATAATCTGCTGCCTTGTTGTTTGGTCACAGGCAAAAAAATAGAATAAGTTCAATGTTGCTATAACATAAATGAGGTCAGAACACAAAGATCTACTCTCTTGTACAGTTGACCTTTGAATAACACAGGAGTTAGGGACATGGACCTCCCCACACTGTCAAAAATCTAGTATAACTTTTGGTTCACCAAAAAACTTAAACACTAACAGCCAGCTATTGACTGGAAACCTTACTGATAATATAAACAATCAACACATAGTTGGTATGTTATATATATTATATACTGATATACTGTGTTCTTATGACAAAGTAAGCCAGAGGAAAGAAAATATTTTTTCCAACTGTTACAAATCTCCAAAAATGTTTCCAATATATTTCCAAAAAAATATATATTACAATATATTTCCAAAACAAATCTACATATAAGTGCACCAGAGCAGTTCAGACCCATGTTGTTTAAGGGTCAACTGTAATTTGTTTGTTAAGCCTGACATTTGTATAAAGGTTTATGTATATAAGATAATACAATCATATACATAGGACTATATAGAATCCTATATGTAGAATTAGGGAGCTTTTTTTCACTATGGTTATCCCTATCGGAGGGAAGTGCCTATTGAATTAACAATTAGAGAAAACAACTGAAGAATATGACAAGTATTCGATGAACTCACCATTTGTTCAGTCATTCAAAAAACATCTTTAAGGACCTGGTATGCACAGCGCGTTCGCATGGGCTGTCTCCCTTTGACCTTGCAGGAACCCTCTGTGGCAGGCCTGTTTAGTCACATTTTATAGTGTTAGCAGCAGGTGTAGGGAGGAGGGTAGCAGAGCAATTGGGCTTGCAAGCAGGGGGTCCAGCCCAGCTCCACCATTATCAGCGGGGCCACCCGCAAGGGTGCCTTCACCACCCCAAGTTTCAGTTTCCACGTGTCTACAGTGAGGCCAGTTATAGTGTTCCCATGCTAGGGCTGTTTCTAGGATGGAATGAGAGAGTGTGTAAGCCATTCAGCTCAATGCCTGGCAGACAGCTGGCACCGAACGCGTCTTACCCATCATTACACATAGGCATTCACCTCATACACGTGCCCCACAAACCCCCGAGGCATATATATTCTTAACATGCCTATTTTACAGATGAGAATGCAAAAGCTCAGGTTAAATAACCAAGGTCTTATGTGTCGGAGTGGGGTTCAAAGCTGTGGTCCGGCTTCTCCATTTTGCAGCTGTCCATGGAGAGCTGGGCTCCCTGGCCAGAAGTCTGCAAAGAGCAAGGAGGGCATGCTCCACTGTCCTGGGACACGTGCCTGTGGCCGTCCTGACCACAGCAGGAAGAGACCAGCAGGCCTTGCTCAGGGCTGGGAGCTGGTCTGCGCCCCGGCAACGTCCTTAACCACACAGCACCTGCCACCTGAGTGGGAACCTCTGCACCTCAGCTCTCATATGCAACCCCTGAGCCTCTTTTCCTGTGTCTTCACACCCCAGCCCTCTCTCTGCCTCCCCGCAGCCACATTCTCCCTCATTTTCCTCTAATCTTTGTCTCTTCCCTCCCTCCTAGCCTAATTTAGAATGAAACAAAATTATTCTGTGTTCATTAAACAGGCGTTAAGTTTCCTGTTCTGAAGTTTTAAAAGCAAATGAATTGAGTATTTAAGCCAGGATTTTAAAAAGCCTCAAACATCAGTGGCTTGGAGAGATGGAAGAATATTTTATAAGGAAAGCAAATCTGGCAAAACGTTAATTGTAAAATCTAAGCGGTAGCTAGATGCATAATTCAACTTTCCTGTGTGTTTAGAAATTTTCACAATAAAATGTTGGGCTGTGGTGGAAATCAGTGGCTTTATCATGTGATACTTTCAACTCATTTTTGTTGTGAGGAGGACCGGCCTCAGTATCGGGAAGGTTTGCTTGCTCCCTGGCAGAGTGCATTTTGGAGGTGGGCGTGAGGGTGGGGGCTAGGGTCTTCTCAGTGTTGGTATCTCTTTGGGAAAGGACATCACTGAGGCATACCCAGGGCTGGTAGTCAAGTGAGGCATTTTAAACAAAAGCTGGGCAGAGGCAGACATTCAGCTCTCAGCTTTACTAGGAGGAACCACTAGTCTCACTGAAAGATTCCATCTCAGGGAAGAGAATATGAGAACTGAGCTGAATTAAGTCACCCAGGGCTTTTCACAAGACAAACAGCCATGGGTAGGTAACCTCCAGAGAACCCCATCCTGTCCATTCCCTGTCTGTTGGTCCACATTAACCTGAATCGGAAGCGATACCTCCAGCTGCATGAGTCACAAAACCAGCCCAGTCCCTGCGACTGGAAGTCCTGCCAGACAAGGCGACCATGGCATATTTGGAAAAGCTGGCAGTGTGTTTTCATTACTGCTGAGACGTCAGCGGATCAGTTGAGCTGCTGTGTGTATGCTTTTCCTTAGCCATACGTCCTTGCAGCCCTACGAATTCCCTTCTGACTAAAGCCCTGCAGAGGAAACTCCAGCGACAATATAGTTCTTGCTGGTTGGGGGAGGGCATGCCATAAACTCTGCTCCCTCCCTCCCCTAAACATGTGACAGGAGATCTCACAGGGGCCTGCAGGGCCATGCAATGAAAACACAAGCAGATTTCACTCTGCTAGACACAACCTCAACAGCCATCAAAGGGGACTGGTTAGATAATTTACATAGCCCGGCCATAGAAATCTACATAGCCCCTTTCAAAACATAAGGGAGCACTGGAGATACGGACAAGGAATAATTTCCAAGCTACACTGTATACAGCATGTGCCCATTTGCGTGGTTAAAAATACATACCTCTACGGTTAGATATACAAAAATGTCTCTGGCTGAATGTACAAGACAGAGCCTGCCTCAGGATGAGGGGCAGGGCGAAAATGAATCACATTCACTAGATACAATATGCTTTTTGTGTTATTTGACTTGTTATCATAGGTATATTTTCTATTGAAAAAAAATTACTTAGGAAAGGTACAAACAAAATGAAACTTTCAAAGCAACAGCATCAGAACTGTAAGCCTTCAGGCTGCGCAAGTCCCTTTTCTGCCTGACATGTGAGCCCCAGGTAATTAACTCAACATTGGGTCTGGAGGCCAGGAGACTACCTTCTATCAGATAGTGAGGACTTGCTGGGGTGACCCCGCCAGCCTGCAGCAGTATCTACTCTGGAAGTCACACCACCAGTGTCCCAGGGCAGGTTCCCTTGGGTATTTAATTTCGGGCAACTGGGTTGGTAAGAGGTGAGGAAAAGAAAGGGGGAAACCGAGGTTGGAATTCAGAGTGCAACAGTGTGGATGTTTCCAAGAGGGCCTTTGGCCAGATTCCCTGAGAGTTAAGTAGCTGCCCTCTCGCACTCCCTAGGGCTCTATTCCTGAGGACACTTGACCCTTGACTTTGACGACAGGTTGCCTGGGACTTCCCATCCTGGCTCAACCACTGACTGACTTATGGGACTTAAGACATGATAAATTTTCTAAGCCTCAGGGGTTTCTTTGTGGTGCAGGAAGTAGGTGGGAGGGTGACAGTAGGAGCAGAAAAATGCTGCTAATGAAGTCATAAGGTCATTATTAAAATTAAGCTTCCAATAAATGTTGCCTAGCTTAGTAAGATCATGGACTCTGGGGCCAGGGTGCCCGGGTTTAAATCACAGCTATTCCGTTTACTAATTTTGTAACTTTGGAAAACTGATTTAACCTATGTGTCTCAGTTTATTCATCTGTAAAATGAGCAAAATAATAGTAGCTATATCCTAGGGCTTTTTTGAGCTACAAATAAGTTGACACTTGTAAAATGCTTAAAATAGCACCTAGTATATAGCAATTTTTGAGCCGGATAAGGTCTTAACTCAGACTTTTATTTTTAATAATGAGAAACTGTGGTCCAGAGAGAGACTTGCCCAACTGTGGATTAGTTTCAGAGTCAGAAGTAAAACCCAGGACTCCCAACTCCCAATTTTCCACTGTTTAGGCAAAAATCTTTTCTTACCTTCTGGTATGAAATAGAAGTAAGAAAAGACCTGGTTGGATCAAGCAAGATGATGCTGGGTTCAAATTCAGTGTGTGGACACAGCCAAGTTTCTTGACCTCTTTAAACCTCTTCTTCCTGGGGATAAGAGGAAGATAATAATCCATATCATAGTCATGTTGTGGTAAGTGAACTTCTCTGCGTAAAATGCCCGGAACATGGCATTTCTCAATGAATGGTAATAATCCCAACTAACAACAGGTGATGGTCTGGTCAGGCTCAGAAGTCCTACATCTGTGGATAGACAGTTTTTATTCCCCATTCTTCCAGGGTCTTGCAGACTAACTTGATACATCCCAATGTGGATCACTATCAACCATGCAGACTCATTTTGGTAACGATTATTTTTTTAAGTAAATTGGAAATGTAAGCATTAACTCTAAACTCATCTCAGGGACGAGTTGGTTGGCAGACCTGTGACTATGAAGTATCATGGTAAATAAGGTTGGTTTCTAAGTTGGGTAGTAATATTTCTGATCAACATTGGGTCTGGAGGCCAGGAGACCACCTTCTATCAGATAGTGAGGACTTGCTGGGGTGACCCCGCCAGCCTGCAGCAGTATCTACTCTGGAAGTCACACCACCAGTGCCCCAGGGTGTCATCAGTAAAATGCAAACAGACACCTCACTGAGAAACTCCACGCCCTCTGGAAGGGTTAACATTTAAAAGACTTGATTGGTATCAAGTGTGAGTAAGGATGGAGCATCTGGAACCCTCATACACTGCTGGAAGGCGCACAGAATGGTGAAACACTGGTAATGTCTTATAAAGTTAACTAGAATCTTACTATATTAGTTATCTATTGTGTAACAGATTACCCCTAAAGTTGTGCCTTAAAATTGTATTAATCTTTTTTTTTTTTTTTTTTTGAAATCTCCCGTGGTTTCTGTGGGTCAGAAATTGAGACGGGGCACAGTTGTCTCCTCCACCAGGTCCGGGCAGAAGACTGAAGGCTGGGGATGACAGCACCTGAGGGCTGGCTCACTCACATGTGTAGTAGACGCTGCTGTTGGCTGAGCACTGTTGTCTGGAGTACCGACACACTGCTTCTCCTCCTACACTGTACCTGGGTTCCCAGGCAAGCCTCCCGACAGAGGAGTTGGGGGAAGGGAGAGAGAAAGGAAGGGAGAGAGACATAGAGGTGGGAAGAGAAAGAGAGAGAGACCCTTGAAGTTGGGGATCATATCTTCCCCATTTTATACCTTCACAACAGCTTCAACCTGATAAGCAACCTTGTAATTTAACAAGTGAATTCGTCAAAATGGGTTTGTTAATTTTGCTTGATAGTTAATTTTGCATGTCAACTTGGCTAGGCCACAGTGCCCAGATGCGTAGGCAAACATTATTCTAGGTGTTCTGGGAGGGTATTTTTTAATGAGATTAACATTCAAAGTGGTGGACTTTGAGTAAAGCAGATTGCCCTCCATAATGTGGGTGGGCCTCATCCAATCAGTTGAAGGACTGCATAGCACAAAGACCGATCTCCTCCATCAAGAAGGGATTCTGCTAGCAGACAGCCTTTGGACTCGAACTGCAACATCAGCTCTTCCTGGGTCTACAGCCTGTCAGTTCACCCTGCAGATTTTAGACCTGACTGCCTCCATAACTGAATATTAAAACAAATACACTATACCACACACATATATCCTATTGGTGCTGCTTCTCGGGAGGACCCTAATACCACCTGGTTTTCTAGTATCTCCAAAACCATGGGCTTCTTGTCCAGAAGTTCTTGGTTTGTAACTGCAGATGGGATCTTCATTTGATATATTTCCTATGCTAATTCTTGTCAGTAGACAATGTATCTCCCTAATATGCAGGATTTACATAGTGACTGCAAAGCCGTGTAGCAAGGTGGCGGGTCGTGGTGGTTTCCGAGGAGGACGTGAACAGGAGCCATTACATAGCTCATCAGTAATCTGTTGCAAAGCAGCTCTGCTTGTCCACACAGAAGTACATCTTTCATTACTGGAAAATGGGAATCAAGTCAAGTGAAACAGGGTTCTGTCCGCTTATAAAAACTTAACTACATTTTTAACTCCATAAATTCATTCAAGTAAAGACATTTGAAAATACCTAACTTCCAGTTTGACCTGACAGAAAATGAATTGCCAGAATGCAAACATATACATGTGTTAAGAAATTTCTGGATTTCTTAGCTGTGTCTTCTAGCAAGGGTGCATGCTTTAAATGTTTGTGTCAGCCCTGCATCAAAATCTCTCAGTTTCCTCTTATACAAAAACCCCTGAAAACTCTAAACTTTCAGAATAAGAACATCCTCCAAATTAGAGAAAATAGAGAGCGTGCTGGACAAGGGGGAGGGTATCAGTACGTGGCTTAAGTTCTTCACCCTTGTGGAGTTAAGGAAAACACTTCAGCGTGAGGACAAAAGCTCCCTTGTTTAAGCGCTTCCCCAGCTGCACTTCAACTAAATATATCCTGGGCAGTGTTTTCACTTCTCCACCCCTCTCCTGGAGCCAATCGCATGGTGACAAACAGCTTAGAGGCCTCCTGGGACCCGCACTGCGGAGGTACTGCCTTGGTCTCTGGGCCTGCCTTCCTTTCTAGCACAGGCCTGCTCTGCGGCTGGCCGGCTTCCCCCAGGGGCTGCAGAGAGACCTAGGCAGGCGCTCTGCGGGCCCTGCTCGGAGAGGAGGCCTTCACGGGTTAACTCAGCGGCTGCTGTCTGGAATTCATGCACCACCTGGGCTGACAGCATGAATGAGTCACTGTTTCCCCTCTGAACGGTCTGAGGAGTGCTTCTTGGTGTCAATAACCAAGGCAGAGTAAAATTGTTTTTTCCTTTTCAACATAACCAATTTTCTAAAACTGCACATAGAGCTGGAAATCTGGAGAGTGTGTCTCTTCTGCAGCAACCGTAGCCAAGGTTACTGCTTTGGGTTGGTCTGTGGGGACAAAGGATTTAAATTTACTGTCTACAAACAGAAAGGGGCCTGAAACCAGGGGTCCTTTCATGCACAGCTTGTGTGACAGCCCCTATAAAATGAAACAAACGTAGTTTAAACCTCTCTAGTCAGCCTAAACCTGTGGTCTGACTGGATACTAGATTTTACATTGCTCATGATTTATATAAATGGACATTTTGACTGATCATTCCCCAGAGCTAAATTTTTTTTTTTCAGTCAGAACACCCTAATTTATTTATTTATTTATTTTTTTGAGAGGGCATCTCTCATATTTATTGATCAAATGGTTGTTAACAACAATAAAATTCGGTATAGGGGAGTCAATGCTCAATGCACAATCATTAATCCACCCCAAGCCTAATTCTCGTCAGCCTCCAATCTTCTGAAGTATAACGAACAAGTTCTTACATGGTGAACAAATTCTTACATAGTGAATAAGTTCTTACATGGTGAACAGTGCAAGGGCAGTCATCACAGAAACTTTTGGTTTTGATCACACATTATGAATTATAAACAATCAGGTCAAATATGAATATTCGTTTGATTTTTATACTTGATTTATATGTGGATCCCACATTTCTCCCTTAATTATTATTATTATTTTTATTTTTAATAAAGTGCTGAAGTGATAGGTAGATGCAAGATAAAGGTAGAAAACATAGTTTAGTGTTGTAAGAGAGCAAATGTAGATGATCAGGTGTGTGCCTGTAGACTATGTGTTAATCCAAGCTAGACAAGGGCATTAAAACATCCACGGATGCAGAAGATTTCTCTCAAAACAGGGGTGGTGAGGTTTTAAGCCTCACCTCTGTTGATCCCCAATTTCTCACCTGATGGCCCCCCTGCGACTGTGCATGTCTTAGGTTGTTCCTCCCTTGAGGAATCTTACCCGTCCCCAGAGCTAAATTTAAGACTCATACACATTGGAGTTCATATGTCAGTCTTCCGTGTCCCTATTTCTGAAGCAATGTATTAACAATCATGCCCCACCTCCAATTCTCCCGTTTGGCACCCTTCTTTGATGTCTCCTTTGAAAACCGGACTGGTAGATTTTCCTGGGCCATGGGATCTTTTGCTTTTCACAAGTATATCTCAGCCCAAAAGCTTGAGAGCCAGACTTTACAGACATTTTACTATCTTGTTGTAAGTGTACCACATACACACTTTCTGTGTTTCTATGGCCTCTTCTTTCTACTTGCCTACATTTTTACATATTTAAAATGAAATATTCAAAAAGAGGAGGATATGGGGAAAAAATATAAATAGGAAAGGAAGAAAGTCCTGTGTAAATTCAGGATCTAGGTTCTGACTTGGAGCTGGGAGGTCAGCATGCCTCAGTGTTTTCCTTATCAAATTACAGTCCTGAATAGACTCCAAGTTACTCCGACTTGGAATAAAAAGGAGGACAGTTGGTAGTGAAGAAGAGGGAGTATGCATGGGAAATGGAGAGTAAATGGGGTGCTTAATGAAATGGCAGTAGATGGCTTTACTTTAATTGATATCAATCACTTTATGAATCCTTTAAATTTCTGCAGTAATAGGAGATTGACGTGGCTTTGGCTGGTTATATGGAGGGCAGCTCTATACCTTGGATGGAAACTCATGCAAATCCTGAATTAGAGAGAGTCAAAATAATAAAAAATATTTCCCTTCTCCTTCAAGCCAATGCTATCATTGAACAAAGAAAGACTGAGCATCTTTCTTTGATCGCCAGTATCCTTAAAATAGTCAGGTATCAAAATATTTGCATTACCCTTTTTGAAGCTAAATGAAAATCTGCAAAGATTAAGTGTTTCTCCATTTTTGTCGACAGGACACAATTATTGCAGCATGCTTAGAGAAATGGCAATAATCAAAGCTTCAGTTTCTCACATCTAGCCACAAGTAAATGTGTCGTTCTCTGAATGAGGCTGTTTTACACCAGGTACAAGTAATCTTGCCAATGAACTTCCTCAGCCACTGAAGAGTTTGTGGTCCTTGTGCCAACAACTTAATCAAGCATGGTTGTTGAAATGTCTGGAGGACTGTGACCTGAGACAAGCAGATTAAACAAACCCTACTATGTGCAATATTGTTTGGGTCTTCTAACAGAGACCAGAATTTAAATTTCTGGGCAGCTTCCGGGCTCTGAAGAGACAACTTATTTTCTC